TTTTTTTTTTTTTTTTTTTTTTTACGCGAGAAATCATCTTCTTCCTCGATTACACAAAGATTATACCTTCACGATATCAATCGAACCCGGAAATATCAAACCATAGCATTATATAACGAATGAACTATATCGAAACATCCCCGAGACATTTGCCTTCTTGTTATGCCATGCCAGCCAGCTGGTTAATTGATAATAGGCAATCGTCGATCTTCGAAATTAATACGGTATCATCGTCGAGAACAGAGAGAAATCGAGAACCATCCATCGCACGATAATCGCGTGGAAACCGGAAAAGCTGACGGAAGAGGAGGGTGAAAACGCAACCCCCGCCGACTCCATCCGCTTTCTCCGCTCGCGGTTATTCGTTACTGGACCATCTGCGACGAAATTGCGGTGATAGCGTGACGATGACGTAATAACGTGATCAATTAACGTACAAGCAAATTTCACGTACAGTGTTCGAATTTATTAAATCTCTTAGCTAACGTTATGAATCGTTTCGAATCGACAGCTCGTTTCGAAATGATTTCGTAATTAGTAGAGATTAATGAAAATATGAAAAATGGTTTATGCTTTTATCGATAACCGAGTATCTTCTCGAGAAGATATTGGTAGAAACATATGGAAGAAATTTTTTTGTCCAATCTTGAAAATTATTGATACGAAAAGATTATTTAAAATGTTATAGATGGTTATAATGTTTAAGTATTATAGGATATCTAAGTAATTTATAATAAGATGTATTTCGTAATTTCATAAGAAATGTCAATCGGATGCATCACTTTATTTCGAAAGTGACACAACTCGGAAATTCTCCGTAAAATATCTTTAAACATAAAAACACGTTATTATCAAATTTATCGTTTTTTTATCATTTTCACTTTATAATCTTAAAGAACTTTTTTATAATTTCAAACAATCTTTTTTACAAAAAATCCTTCGAGATTAAACATTCAATACTATTCTCAAACCGAATGAAATTCATTTCAGTTTCCTTTTTTTTTTTTCCTCCTTTCTTACTTAAAATCCATTAATACTTTATCAAATAATCAAGCATCCGAAGAAAATAACGCGAATCCTTGAAACACTTCCAAACTCTCTCCATCAAAAACCAAGATTAAACATTCAATGCGCTCTCAAATCGAAAGAAATAATTAATTTCCATTTTATTTTCTTTTTTTTTTTTTTTTCTATCTTTCGAGTTAAAATCCATGATTTGTCAAATAAGCAAGCATCATCCAACTACGAGTATATACCAAAAGCGAGTGGCAAACAAGAGGCTACTACACCGTATTATTACTGGTGCTGCTCTCTCGGTTCTCCGTCACGCAGGACCGACTTTTGCCTTCGAGAGAATCACGAATCGTGAACGCAACGCTTCGCGTGCGAGCGCAAATGTACGTATACCCGTACATTTATAGACGTACACGTGGCCGGTGCAAGCGTGTGTTGTGCAGAGGCGTAGGCGAGAAACGTGACCCACCTGTGCGTACACGCACGTGGAAACACAAGCGCGCGGATTCACGGTGAAAGTATCGATATTCGCGCGGAATCGGAGCTGCTAGAATGCACAAGCAGCAACCGAGTTAATTCCTATCCCGCGTACGACCAGAGTTCACCGAACCTCGCGACTCATCCTTCTTCTTTCATTTTTCATTTTTTGATCTTTTTTCTTCTTCTTTCTTTTTCTTTTTTTTTTTTTTAACGTTCCTTCTACTACTTTGAAATCGTTGCTTTTTTTAATATATATATATATATATATACATGCGCTTTTAATTATATCGAATTTCTGCCGAGTTCGATTATCGCTACTTTTGATTCTTGTGTTATTGGATAAATTGTGTGGATATTCTTTTTTTTCTTCTTTTTATATTCACTTTCGTTGAATATAAATATAAATGAAGGATGAAAAAGTGAAAATGTCATATTATGTATGCTTTAACGTACGTTTCAGTTTAATGAGTGGATTTTATGAATGGATTTTTAGAATCGTTATTTTTGATGCAATCGATTTATATAGATTTTACTTTTTTAATAGCTTTCTCTGCGAGAATTTTTTTTTTTTTTTTTTTTATTGCGTTTCCCGCGGGAATTTTTTTTTTTTTTTATTGCGTTTCCCGCGGGAATTTTTTTTTTTTTTTTTTTTTAATATCCTGACACCGTAACTCGTACTTGGATTAATGTTTCTGTATAATGAGACTTGTCGCGAAAAGTATATAACATTCAGAGTTATCAGTTCTTCTTATCAGATCCAATTGGAGCTATTATTGTTGAGCATTTATACCAGTGTCAGAGTTATTAGACAAGAATTATAATAAACGTAACCCAATTGCTCTTAGACATGACTCACGGTATAAATACTCCACTTGTCTATGTAAAAAAATATCACGAAATTTCGTACCACGCTTAGCAAACATTTCTACAAAAATATAGATCAAATAGAAATGTATCAAAATTGATTAAAAGGACACGCAATTAATATGAAATATAATTAATCAGTAATAAAAATAATAAAAAAAAAGAATACCACAAAGTATAAAAAAAATATATTAATATAAAAATTCTATAATGCTAGAAAAAGTGTCCTGTCTCCTCTACGAATCGTGTACAATTTCCATCTTCCTTTTTTTTTTTTTGTTTTTCACAAAATTTTACTGTAATTCAATTACCAATTAAATTAAAGTAAACACAAAATCATCGTGAACGCATTGTCCTCGAGCGCTGCTTTAATAAAGATAATTGCCAAAGCTTGATAAAACCAATTCGAACGGAGAAAAAAGAAGAAGAAGAAAGGAAAACATTTCGCAACGATTTGTTCGAGCAAGAGTTATTCGTGTCGTAGCAAGATATCGATTTTTATCCAGCGAATTTATCGTGGAATTAATTCGACCGATTCGAAAACTTAACTTAACGTTATTAAACTTAAGTTAACGTTAACTCGGAGAAGAAAATTTAATCCAATCCGAAATCTGTTCGAGAAATGGCGAATTTAAACGGTTGGAAAATCGTGTTTGGAACTAGACCAAATTCGAACCGGCGCGATTTCGTCTATAGTTATTCGTGGACGACCAGTTTGTCGTCTGTTTCGTTATTTTTAAGAACTCGGGCCACTCGAAGTGGCTGATTAAGCGGCCTTCTGCTTCGTGGTATAAATTGGTTGCTTCGCGGTATAAAAATTCAGTTAATAAAGCGCATTTCAACCGGCCTTGCCCGCTCAACTTCTCTGATTCTCTCTCTCTCTAATTCCTCTCGATGATTGCGTTAATATCGAAGTTATCTCGTTCGAGTATTCTCACTCGTATATACATCCAGATTTTTCCAGATTCGTTGTGTCTTATTCTTGGAAAATGTTCTTTCCAAATATTATATATAATTCGTTCTTCCAATAATTTGCATTCGATCGTTGTACGAGATTCGAAGTTGTTCTGTGCGATGGTGAAGAAGGATTGAAATAATTCGTGAAAAATAGAAATGATCGAGATGATGTCGGGAACAGGAAATATGCAAAGTGCTTCGATTATCAAATGAGAGATCATCCTACGATCCATTACGATTCAATCAGACAGAAACAGGAAGTGGTCGAGTTCAGTTACGCTGTTCGATTTGCTGTTTGCAACGGTTGCAAGCTTCGTTAGGGTACGAAATATCCCGTGATGTAAAATTCGATCGTATATTATCATCATATTCTTCTCTCGTATTTTTTTTCAATCGAATAAAATTTATACGTGATATTCATAAAATAAGAGGAGATAAACACGTGTTTGAGAAAAAATTAAAATTCGTGCAATCTCGTAAAAATCAATTCTATTATGAAATTAGATGTTTGTTGATTGGACGTTGAACGATATCGCGATATGCCAATTAAGATAATCGCAAATGAACTAGATGAGATAAAGATTGTATAAAACAGAATTTCAGAATAGCTTTTGAAACCTGAAATCCTATTAAGGATGAATACAATTTTGGCATTCAAATCCATCCTAGTCCGTTTTCTAATCCTCCGACTGTGTGTAAAGGGGACTTCAAAGCGTTCAACTACAGTTACAATTTCTCTGTTTAATCCACTATGGTAATCATTGTTCACAGACATCCTTTCCGATAATTTAATATGTCATAACCAGGTCCATCTATCTATCACATTCGGTTGGATATTCGCATATTTCAATCGTTGATTTGATTGAGCTCATCCTATTCCTGCTAGTTATGTAATGCATATTTTACCCTCTATATCGAGGGTTAACACTTCGAGAGCAATATATTTCACGGTATATATGGAATATATTGTGCCAATTTAGAACACAAAATTGTTCCCCTTCTGAAACGAAATTTCGCGATAGTTTGTCGCGTGTACATTAAAGAGCAAATTTATAAAAAATATTTCAACTTTGAATTTACATCGTAAATTGTGCATTGTTTTCTCTTTCATCACTATGTATTTGAAGATTGGCACATGTATATGGCACGTCATACGTTTCTCATATCAAATTGTACAACGACGTGCCAGAGATGTCATTTGACGTCAAAAGGTTAATTAAATACATAGTGTTTCGAAGAACCTCTACAACATAAATTCATCGTTATTTCACTTAAAATAAATGATATTTCATAATGCGTCAACTCGATAAATAAAAATTGAATAAAAATTGAAGAATTTATAACGAAAACAATCCCTCGATTTTAATCAAAATATAATACACCACGACTTTATAATCTGATTAGATACAGTTGCATTTACAATGCAATTGCGAAATAATCTTCGCGATAACGAGTGTTTTCTTAAAAAAAAAAAAAAAAAAAAGAAAGAAATTAAAATCCACTTGAGCAAAAATCAACAATCCACCGCCATTTGTACCGAGCCAATTATAATTTATAAATTTTAATTTGCATTTAAATCATAAACGTACATTTTCCAAATACGTGATAATTTATTAAGATTTTCCACTTAGTTATACTTCACAAGTATTCTGAATATTTAACACGATTTAAAAATGACATCGTTCCAATCATCCATTATCGTTATCATTAAACACAAATTCCAAGAGAAAAAAAAACTGACCAAAAATCGATTTCTTATCTTATTATCAATCTTATTCTTTTTAATCCTTCTTCAACACGACGCGGAAATTGTTTTACCCAGCTATTTTCACTTTCGTCGTGCTTCGTTCTTCAATTTTCATCTTGTCCCCAATTTTCGACAGTATCTTCCCGGCGCAAACTCTCTCACCCTCCTCCTTCCGTTCAAGGTTCTTCGCCCTTATGAACGCAATTTTCGAAAGACGTCGTGGATGCGGGTTGCAGCCT